ACTTTTTATTATATAGTTAAAAGAAAAGTGCAGTCAGAGGAGTAAAAATAAGTTTTGCTAGTGATCCATGGATACATTTTAATAAAGTTTTCTTTTTTAAACAGATGATCTACGTCGTAATCAACAATCACTCGTTTCTGAAGTTCGTAAATCAGCATTCGTTCCAAACAGTGAAGATTGGGATAATTGTAAGTAGAAGAGTAGTAAATGGATTTGAATATAAGTTAAAAGTTCTTCAATTACTCTTAGATGATGATTCATTACGCTTTTTTACGAAAGATGAAATTACCTCAATGACTGCAAGGTAAATTTATTGAATTTTACGTCATCTTTTGTGTTCGTATGATGGTTCTTGTTTCAGCCGACAAAGTCAAAATACAACTGCATTAGCATCACCATTATCGCCATCATTAAATGTCACACGGTGAGTTGCACTGAAACGTTTTCTAGAACATGATTTATGCCATCAATTTCATATAGCTCAAGTGTTGTTCAAGAGTCAAAACCTGTTGCACAAAAAGTGGAAGCAAATGAAAGTGGTTATCAGTCAAGAGTTAGTGGATCAACGAACGAAAAAAATGTTAAAGCTCGTAAGTAAACACATCAATCAACAGCCACGATAGCTTCTATTCTCTCATGTTGAGTTAAATGGGATTGATAACTAAAATTTAGCATTGCATATAAATGTTCTTATATGTTAAAGTCTGTAAGCTATCTTTGGAAAACCTCGTTCAGCTAACTGATAACAAAATATTACTACGCTTCTTCTTGTTCTCTATTTAGATGCAATTGGTCCACAAAACGAAACATTAGGATTAAGTACCGACGATGAAATTGAGTGAGTTTCTAATTTTAAATCTTTTGTTTTATCAACATGTACACTGCAACAATCTTGTTCGTTTTAGTTTACAAATAGCAAAAAATCGACGTATAATGCTTTCTAGCGGTGTGGGACGAGGAAGGCCAAGAATTAGTACTTTTCAACAGAAATAATAGAGAAAAGGTAGACTTAACGGATTAATACAGATTAAATTGCCGGTCTTTGCAAGACTTTTTTCTTACATATCACCGACAGAAAGATAGAGTTCATGCAGAGTCGAAGAAAAGTGCTTTTTCATATTCAGCACACTCAATAATCCTGAAGATTTTATGTTTTTTGACCAGAGGTATTGTCAAAAATTCAAGAAAAATTTGAAAACTAATACTTTTATTTTGCTACATAAACTTTTTTTCGTCATTTTGTTCAAAAACTTTTCCCAAACTTTTTGATATAATGTTTCGCCAAAAACAGAAAATCTTCGGAGTTATCGAGTTTGGTGAATATGAAAAAGCACTTTCTCCGACTCTACATGAACTTTATTTTTTGTCTTCATGTTGATATGGGTTAAGCTTCGTAAGTCAGAAAATTTCGTTTGGATACTAAAAGATAGAGAATTTTACGTAGATTTTAGCCATATATTCCTTTTGAAATAAATATTTGCCGTTTTTGTACAACATTAGAAGTACCGGAAGTCATAAAAAGCTGAGTTGCTTACTCAACTGAAGAATTATAAAGTTTTGAAAACAAATTTCTGTTCAGTTAGATAAGTGTAAACATTTAGTTTTAGTAATAATATGTAGAATTTCTCGGTGTATCTGATGGTATGTTCATTTCTATACACTTTATTCATTTCCGCTTTCTAATATTCATAATATTAAAAAATATCTTGGGTCGATTAGATGACACCTATAATTTTACCGGTTTATTGTAAACATTGACGAATAAAAATTATTTTTTTTAATATGAGCAGATGCAGAATTTCAAAGTCTAGAAGATGTCATCCTTTCCATGGGTTGACTGCCTTTGATAATAAATGATGAAGTTGTGATATTTTCTTATAGAAAGAAAGGCGCCAAAAGGCTTATACGCTTGATTCCATACAAAGCGCTGAGCAACTAACTCTTTTTATGACTTTCAGTACTTCTAATGTTGTAGAAAAACCGCAAATACTTATTTCAAAAAGAATATATGAATAAAATCTACGCAAAATTCTCTATCTTTTAGCATCTAAACGAAATTTTTTGACTAAGCTTTATCTGAGAAAAAAGCCTTGCAAAGGCTCCCAATTTAAGCTGGATTCCCCGTTATATAGCACTATTCATAGGGTGTTAGAGAAATTTATTTTTATTGACATCCTCATCTTAGATTACCTTCTTTCTCAATTAAACTAGAGATAATTAATAATTTTATAATTCGAACATTATTCATACTACTTCTATATAATCGAAATTTAGCTAAATTGTTTGATATAATATCATTTTTGACGTTGTTTCAGAGTCACATCCGTCATTATCATTATCATTATACTATTACAGAGACAATTATTTATCAAAAGTAAGAAAAACGTTTTTCGATTGTAACTGTAAACTGTGTGATGTTTTTGTTTTGTTTTGCTTTGTTTTTAGTTTCTTGTATATTGTGTGTTTTGTTGTACAAATAAATCTAAATGAAATATAAGAAGTTTTTCTATAGTTTGAATATGACTGATATACTTAGACTTATTTTATTTTCTATTCAATTATTTCATTTTACATATTTTTTTAGAGTAAAATATTCTAAGTTAATAGTTTATGAAAAGCTTCTTGATATTAAATTATATTTTTAATTTTTGTTATAAGTCCATTTATCATTTGTTTCTCTTTTTGAACATATTCTCGATAAACATTTTCTTGTTGACTTAAACCTGTTAATGTTTTTATTTCACAATCTGTTCGATATTTATTATCACTTAATGCTACACAGTAATCAAAATGTTCACCACAATATTGTTTTGTTATTGTTATACTATCTTGATAAGATTTTTGCATTTGATTATCATCAAATATTAATTCTAATTCTGATGCAAAAGATTGTAATTGATTTGTATCATTTGTACTTTGATTAGCAAAATAATTTATATACTGTTTAAATGCTTGACAATTCCAAGTAAATCGTGGATTTATACATTCTCGTATTGCTTGTTTATTTGTTCTTAAATCAAATATTGATGTTTTTAATTGTGGACAACATTCAGATGCTAATGCACATCCCATTTGAGCTGATTTTAGAAATAATGGAGGAAATAATGAGATAAATGTTGAGAATAAAACTTTAAAATCTTGTAAATCTTGAGCAATTTGAGTAGATGATATGATAATCGCATTGGATACTACTAAACATGATAGGATAAGAATAAAAATGAATTTGATGTATGCCATAATAGTGATTTACTAAAAATAAATATAGAACGATAGTTATAATGAGATCGATGTACGTTACTTGAGAATAGTTTTCAATATGTTAAATTCTTTTATGAAAAATAAATTATTTGATATAATACAACTATTTGAGCGTACTTTTTTCGTATATGATATAACAATATTATTGAGTTTCACTTGTCAGAAATAGAAAATTAAACAATCTTACAAATGATGTTTATATGTAAAGAAAAAAACTCAAAATGACAAGAACAATTTATTTTTCTTTAGATATCATGTTTAATAAAAATGCCTTGTTTGTTTTCAAGATATCGTTATCAATTGATAAAATAATACTCAATTGATGTAAAGTAAGCGAAAACTATGTGATTGGTCTGTATAAATAAAATATGTACAGTTTGTTGACAAACTCATAAATCAAATAGACAATATACAAAAAATAAACGAATATACCGCATTAGTTATTATAAACGAGTAAACGTCGTTTTTGATTGTCAAAAATTAACGCACTTCAATATTCGATCCTTCTCGACGATATTTTTGAATATTCTTGAATTTTTGAAACTTGAAATGATCTGTTAACGACCAGTTACAATTATTCCAGTTGAAAACCTTCCTCTCTTGTGAAAACCAGTTTTCTTGAAAACTACAGTCGTCCTAATTCTGTTCAGATGCTCTTGTGAGTTTGATCTATCTGCTCATTTAGAACATCAGAGGTTCATCTAATTTTCACATCTTACTTCCACTCTGAGTCTGCTGACTAAATAATATCCTTTTCTCGAAAGTTTAAATTAAACACTATTTATTGACTGCTATGTTAGCTTTCAGCCTCATTATTTCACATTTATTAAGTAGAATTATTCAAGTTTCTAAATATTTCTCGAATACTAAAAAGGATCTTGACTTTACACATATGGCATTATATTTCAGTTTTAGTCGTGTCACAAAGAAGTATTTTCATATATTCGTTCACGAATTCCTGAGGGCATCCTCTTGAGGAGGAATAAAGAGATCAATTTCTAAACTTTTGTCATTGATATCTGTTATCTTTCTATGTAAAAGAAATGAGCCGGGCACGAGTTCCGATGTCGCTTTTCCTATTATAACATAATTTTGTGACAAATGGCTAATTTAATTTAATTTAATTTCGTTTTAAAAACTTGATGAAGAAGTTCGTTTTTAATTTATGAAGTTTGACATTTTGGCATCTTTAAGAGATTTTCATATCAAATTTTTCTTGTACGCTGTAAAGAAAAACATTTAGAAGAGTCTTGTAGAGAATTTCCTGGTACATATTTTAAAAACAATATAGCTTTGAGTGACAGATGGAACGTGGGATAACAGGAAAATAGTGAGAGTATCATTTCTTTTGGACCACCCGTTAGTTTGACAAGTGCATCAAGAAACGATGAATGTACTGAGTTAGAAAAAAACATTCTTCGAAATGCGGAAGACGAATCTGAGTCATATATATGTCAATGTTGAAGTCTTAACTTGCCACCCTAAAACAATCGACTATCTAAATGAAATTACCACACTAGTAAAAGCTTTTTTGCATTTCTTCTCAAGATCTTTCAACAATCATATTAAGATCGTACTAGAAGTAAGAAAGTAATACGTCTATTATTGTACGATCTTGTATGAGCTTCTATAGTGCAATTTTGGTATGACTCTGATTTTCTGATGTTCGGGTATTTCGTATGAAATCGTGCAATACGGCTCTCACAAGATCGTATTCTAAGAATCGTGTATGCTCATGTTCTATGATTTCATACGATTTGAGTGAAACTCGTACTCTTGAGAGTATTTCTGTGCTTTTGCTCTGGTTAATACTTGGAATACTTGAAAAAGCACAGATTCTAATTTATATGAGCTTTTCAATGTCTAATATTAGACAGTACCTTGTGGCTCCGTGAACGATAGACACAGAGAGTCAGACGAACAGGCAGGTCGAATATATTTGTGGTAAAGTTTTTCAATAACCTTTTCTTTGTGATCTTTTTTTTTAAAAAGTTTATAGATTTTTCACCTATACGTTATTTTTAATTTTTATTCTTGTGTGGTGTTTTGATTTATCTAATGAACAGAAATAATTAAATAGCTTTTTCAACCAAGCAACTTTTGCACTTGTGCGTACGATTACAATATGAAGAGAAAAATAGTAGTACGGAAAAGAAATCTGCAGAATCGCGAGATAAAAACAGTAGGAATCATGTGTCATTTGTACGCATGATCTTATGAAATTATAACGTTTTTGTAAGATCATACCTATGATGTTGTACGAATCCTATAATCAGACGTTTTAGGGACCACCATTCGTACGTACGAAGTAATACGATTACTGAGCATCATCTCTGTCCGTGTACGATCATAAAGTATGATTTTATCTGATCGTGTACGACTTGTCGACCCAACCTGTTGCTCAAGAAGTGTTCCATTTTCACATTTTTTGTGTTTCATGCAGCGAACTCAAGAACTTGTACTATGCTAGAAAATACTGCGCAAATGATCAGCCTTCTAAAAATTTATTATTATTTCAAAATATATTGTTTTCGTGTGAGTATCTTCGAACACGAAAGACCGCGGTGCGTTACTGCAAAGTTTTTGATATCTCGAAAGAATTCTACCTGGGAATGCTGAACAGCGACATCTATAAACGGATCCTGTAATTTGCTTATTTCTGCTGGTCTATAATTACCATCCTGAATTTTGAGAATGCTAACATGTATAAATAAATGAATGGATTCTTCGAAGATGTGTTGGTTTGTTCAGTTAGTAGTTTTTAAATCAAATACTCAATTGAGATGACAAGTCGTCTATTGTCACTATGGCTATGCCGTTTATGCCAACAAAAACTGTTTCAACGCACATCCGCCACTTTCACTCCATATAATGCTACGATCCTTCTACCATCTCTGTTATTTAAGACCTCAAAACGCTCTATATCAATAACAAATATTTGTTATGGTTCAACTAAAGAAAAGAAAAAACGTGGAGTATGTATTTATGCTCTGCTATTATTTTGTGTGCTTGTTTATCGCGTTGTTTCTTTTCTCTTTCAGCCAATTAATTATGGCCCAAAAGGCAGACGCCCAGTTATAGATATCTACCATAAAATGACTATTAAAGCATTAGCACAAGCTATGGGAATAGAGACTGGTAATAAAAAACACGACTCTATTTTATATTGTAAACAAAATCTGAAATAGAACAGTACGATATCATTTTTTTTATCGTGTCTTTGCCAGTGAGAAGACTGAATTTTGCTTGTCATTCATCTCTTTGTAAATCGTTACGATTCACGATTACGAATTGTTACGATCGTTACGAAATTTTACTGTTTAGATCATATCTACGATTGTCTTATTTACATCAAAGATGGTGATAAATATTCAGCCGATGATCAAGGTATTTCGTGTTATATTATGCTTTCCTAATATTTTCATTTGAAATTGTTTTGTAGAAATAACTGATTTTAACGTCATTGTGGAAGTTGTGAACTTATGTGGAGGGAAACAACGACTTGTACCAAACCCATTTCCAAAAAAAGATCTAAAAAGAGAGGCAATCAAACCAGCAGAATTTGTTAGAACGTATGTATATTTTCTTTCGATATCAGCGAAATAGTTACTCTGTTTTATCATTGAAAAGTGACACTGACGAGGGAACGTTCCCAAGTGTCCAATCGCTTTTTAATCGAAATCTAGTGGGTTATAGGTTATCGATCATGCTGATTCCGAATATGAATATGGGAGTTCCCTTTAGCCCTTCGAAGATCCGGTCTTC